ATTCTACAGGTTTCAAACACCGTATTTTTGGCCATCGAATTGTTGGGAACCCGAGAATACTGATTATGGTATAAAAGGATATTAATATTATCGTTAGTGTAATTTCATCTGTCATTTATATCGGAAATGTAAATGACACGATTAACAATAAGAACATATTTAATAAATATATAAATTTTCACATCCGTTAATGTGCGTTAAAACACGTTAAATGTTACTTACAGCTGTCTATTTATGCAAAAGGACGATGCAGAATAAAACGAGATTGGAATTGGCGGATTACGAGGCGGAAAATCTAGCTAGATTACAAAAGATGTTTTCACGAAAATGGGAATTTATTTTTATGCAGGCAGAAGCGCAAAGCAAAGTTGACAAGAAAAGAGATAAATTAGAAAGAAAAGTCCTGGATAGCCAAGAGAGAGCCTTCTGGGATGTACATCGACCAATGGTAATTCTTCTTAGTTAGAATAACAAAATTGAAATAATAAAGAAAAGAACATTTACATATTTTCTTATTGATAAAATATTGGAATAATTTTTGCGTTATAAATATAATAAATAGCAAGGACATTTTTTATTAAAGAAATATATATTTTAAATCTCACTCATTATATTTTCAGCCCGGATGCGTAAATACTACGGAGCTAGATATTAAGAAGGCTTGTCGTAGTTATAAAACAATTATACAACCAAGTAAGCATTTGCAACTGGGCGTCGCGGGTGGTAGAATATCGCCGCCTACAGAAACGAGTGCGACCTCATCGATAGAATTTTTGCAGAAGGAGATCGAGACTCTGAAAGACAGACTAGTCAAGCCCGTCATCAAGGTCTCGAAAGTAGCAGAAGCGTACGTATGTCAACAGAATTTGTTTATCTATATTTAGCAAAGTAAACTAAGGGATATGTATGCATTTGCATTAATATTTCTTAAAGTTAATCGAGGTTTAACGTCGGGGTCGTTTTTGTAAAACAACGAAAGTAAAAATGTCTGTTCCACATTTTATCCTGCGTTCGATGATGTAATAATAATATTACATTTATTTAACCTTCGCTAAATGCATATATTATATATATGCGTTTGTAGTTTATAGGCTAATCAATATGCGATATTTTTAGTTTGATCGGGTACTTTGAACAATACATGGAATACGATCCCTTTTTCACCCAACCCGAGCTCACAAATCCATGGATTTCCGACAGTCCGGAAATGTGGGAACAGGAGAAATTAGCGTAAGTACATACATTATTGTCACAATAAAGTAAAAAAAGTGTTTTGCAATATTCGCGGCATGTATCATTTAATATTATATATTATATAATATTTATAACACGAAATTAGATACCTTTAACGATCAAGCTGGATCGCGTCAAACAATTTTTCAGTCTTGAAACGCAGCTCTACGAAAATTTAAGATGCGTAAAGAGCATAAAAAATTGTTAAATTACTAGAACAATTTAACTCCTGATATTATTACGGTAGTTTCGTAGAGTTGTGTTTCAAGACCGAAACATAATTGTTCGGCGCGCAGTTTAAAAGACTACATACGGAATTATAATAGCACCTAAGATCCAGCTTGACCGTTAAAGACAATTTCTTATTGGTTGTTTTTCTCACATGTACGGTTCTATAAGATTTAATATTTAAATAAATAACATTTATATTTACGGATATAGGAAAGAAATATCAGCGAGAAGAGTAAAAAGGTGGGCATTCAGTCTTCAAGAACTCCTACAAGATCCCGTTGGTAGAGAACAATTTATACGCTTTTTAGATAAAGAATTTAGCGGCGAAAATCTCAAGTACGTATAACAATTGTCAACGTAAGCTTGTTTTCTTTTATTACATAAAGAATTAAAATATATATATTTATATATATTTTATCTACACACATAATACGATATTGAATTTGCATCAGGGAGACGAGATCATTTATGATATGTGCAGATTTTGGGAAACCGTTCAGGAATTGAAAACCTTACCGCAAAAAGACGTCCAGATGAAAGTCGAAGAGATATGGCGTGAATTTTTGGATACAGATGCAAGTTGTCCCATCAATGTCGATTCTCGATCCTATGAGATTACCAAAAAAGGTCTTGAAAAGCCGGACCGATGGTGTTTCGACGTTGCTGCGGTATAAATTTAATTTATTAATTATTTTCTTACATGTTATATGTCACATAAAGAAACAAGGGAAAATTAATCAATTTAAAAAAAAAATAAAATTAAAAAAAAATTATTAAACTTTTATCTATTTTTTCTAAGATGAGAAAATTATTTGAAACGGATCATGCAAAATAAGTATTAAATAAGATTAATACATATGATTTTTTTATTTAAATTGATTTATATGTGTATACGTAGGTATAATGTTTAAATATTCTTCTATTTTCATATATTATTGGTTCTCTATAGTTTTTATTGTTGTCATTTTCTAGGCGCATGTATATCATCTAATGAAAAGTGATAGTTACTCGAGATATTTACGCTCGGAAATGTATAAGGATTTTCTTAATGGATCTAAGAAAAAGGTAATTTCTTTTTTCTTTATGAGATTGTTGACAATACCTTGAATTATATATCATTATTATTCTCCAATCATATGATTAATAAGAATTATCTTGTTCTTAACGTTTCAGACTTCTGTAAAAGGCATTCGCTCTATCGTTTCCTTCACAGGACGAAGAGATACAACAACTTCGTAACCTGCCACTTATTATAATCTTACATCTCTTCTTGCCATTCCGCTTTTTTTATTTCTATCAAAAATTGCATAAAGCTGTCATCAAATGAAATCGATTTCAGTTTTAAAAAAAGATTGTTTTCTATTTAATTTTATGTTAACTACCAACACATCTACAATTAAATATTTGATATCGATAATTATACATATATGATAATTAAGATTGCTTAAAATCTTATCAAAGAATCGTAGGCTTTTCAAATTCATTATAATAAAAGATTGATCGCAAATCAATTTTTGCATTTGTCCAATATCTTACATTTATTATTTATGACACTTGTTATAATTATGATCTTTTATTGTCATACATACACACAAATATGAAATCAACATTTGAAATTGAACATGGTCATTATTTTTATTTAAAGAATATCCAAACGTTTAATTATAAGAACTTAAAATTTTAGAAAAAAAACACGTTAAGAAACAAGTTTTTAACACAAAAAATCAATCAAAATCAATTACTTCAAATTTTTTAAATTTAATAGTGAAAATAAATATATTGAAGATCATATTTTCGCCATATATTCACATAGGTGTGCGTTTATTTTCTTAGGAAACACATTTAATATTGCGGCATACTTTTGGATAAATAGAAATAATGCGTGTAAATAAAGCGTTTTCTTAATCCGCGCAATGCATTAGATATATTAAATTAATTATAATAGCCAATTGAGAAATTAGGGAAATGTTAGAATAATACAAATTGTATGACATAAATTGTACAAGTGATACAATCGAAGAATATGTATCTTCAACAAATGAAGCGAAAGAATTGAGCAAAAGACACGCACAGATATGTACAGAAATATATTTTGCATAAAGCTTTAATCTCAACATTGCCCAAAATTTAACGATTACAAAAGACGTCATTCAATGTATCTTTCTTTTTCATTATATTCGTATTCGATATACACAAAACTTGTGTCAGAAAAATTCCAAGAGACTAAGATAAAACATTAAAACTACAATAAAATTAAATATAAGAAGAGTACTTAGTATTTATTTCATTCAAAACATTTTTCATTTTCTATTTTCCTACATATTATATATGTATAGTATCCACGTCTTCCATATATACTGTTTATGATTTTTATGAAAATAAAAAAGAATTTTTTTTTTAAGTTTTTTTTTGGATTATTGCGTATTTAGATTATGTATAATAAATGAAAAGAATTATATAGAGAAAAAAGAAGAAAAAAGAAACGCACATTGATTGAAATCCATAATACTTAGAAATATTAACATCTCTATTATGCCTATAATCCTCATTATGATTTCATTATGTATAATTACGTTTATTATTATATATTTTTAACTATTCAACGTTTAGTATAATCGAATATTCATTGCCGTTATATGATTTAATAATTAAATGTCTCTTAACTGTGAATGTCATTCAAACTACTAGAAACTTTCCTGATCACTTTGGCACAAAGTCATTTAACAGAACTCCTGTAATACGTACATACATGTATATTCTTACGTCATCTTCTAACGTTTTAGTCATTTTTATTCATAGGATAAGTTTAGTAGATATTTCTCAATATTATTTTGTTACTGGCAGTAAAAATTATTTTTAATAATAAACTATATGTTATACATGTAGGCTATGAATCAAACAATAATAGCTTGATGTATGCACGTTCCAGAAAGGCTCGTAGAAACTATAGAAGACTTATTAAGTAAACACACTGTAAAAATATTTATATCGTATTGTTACAAAAATATTTTACAAAATATTTATTTTTTAAGATATATGAAATATAAAAATTATTATTACTAATATATATATAATATGTCTATTCTGTTAAAGAATATATTTGCGAAAGATTTTCTTTCATCTCAACAATCTCACATTTTGCTAAAGTATAACATTATTCTATCTCCAATGATGGCTATTCATGTTTATACAAGCCTTTGTTACATGACAATTTATGTAGCAATAATGGCACAAATCGTGGAAAATACTTATAACGATAAATATACTATCTGCTGTGCAGATAGCTATATGTACATGGTCATGCTGGATTTGTGAATACAAAGCTCTCGATTATTCATGTCTAATATTAAAATTTAATTTTACGAACTTTCCTAAAGTTTTTTTCTTAAAGTACGAATATTATCAAAAACACAAGTGTCAAATTCATCTAGAAATATACATACAATAATTCAAATGTTCCACAGTTTAAAAGTATCTAAGGATATATATATATATATATATATATATATATATATATATATATATTGTTGGGGAGATTTCCAACAACATAATCATCGCAATTGTAATATATAAAGTCTTTTATAAAATGCTTAAATTGATTCACCGAAAAACCTTCGTCGAAACTGTACACTAATTATCTACGCGAATTTTATATCGCTTCTATGTCCTTTTTTTTATTTCTGTTGATAAGCGGCACTACCGCCCAAAGTGCAGTACCCAAAATCAAGATGATTCCGAAGGCTAAAAAGATCGGCTTATACGACAGTATGTTCTCAAAAATAACACCACAAATAGGCGGTCCGACGAGTTGCAACACGCCATTAACGAACAACGAAATTCCATAGGACGAACTGAGCTTCTCCGTTCCCAACATGTCCGCGAGAATGACGGTCGTGATGCCGATATACATTCCTGACGACAGACCGAAGAGACCGCAGAAGAACGACAGCATAGTGTAGCTGGTCGCCATCGGTAATAACGCCAGAGCGATCCCACTGGTACCGAGTCCGCCTACGAAATAATAATACTTGGGTACGAAGTCAATATCGGATAAGGACGCCCCACCGATCCTGCCGACCAGATCCAATGCCGAGACTATGGACAGGAGCAGAGCCGACGAGTTTTTGTCAAAGCCCTCGGTGATCGCGTAAGACGGCAGTAAGATCATAAAGTTCGTATTGCTGATGGCCGATGTGGAGTTGGAGATAAGAATCACTAAGTAAATGGGATCCTTCAACACGCTTAGATCGAAGAAGGGCGCTTTTTTGTTTTCATGCTTTTTCGGCGTTTTGGCCAATTTCGAGCACACATCGTCCCGTTTGAGTTCCTCGTCGCGCATCCTGCTATCCTCTTTCGGATTCTTTCCAATTTGCAAGGAATCTGAGTGCGACTTAACGTCTTTCTCAGCACTACCTCGCCGCGATAAATTCTGCGTAACGCTATTCAGATCGTCGTCGTCCTCCTTAGCATGACTCGGACGAATTGTCATGCGAAATTCACTCGCATTTGGAGTATTTTCACGTGGAATCTCGTCCTTGATGACATCGTAGCGTAATCCCACGACTGTATCACTCGTTTTGTAATCCAATTTCTTCTGCGGCTTACAAGATGCCTTCTCAGGCTTACAAGATGCCTTTTTGGTGGTCTTTAGTACGGCGTTGTGCTGGTTGTGCGAAAGATCCGAAAACTTGCGTATTGGTTCATCGCCGAATTTAGCATCCTCTTCCATTTTTTCGACAGTCGACTCCTGCTTTCCGCCAATAGACTCGTCGAGAGTCAGTGCTTCGTTATCGATACCGTCATCCAGGGGCACGATCTTCATGTGTTGCTCGACCGGATGATACAAGAGACCGCAGACCAGCGTATTCAGCGTGATCGCACCCATGATGAGTACAGCTCCTCTGAAATGTGACAATGAGAAACCTGATTTAAGTAAGGTATGAATCCAGCTTTATTTTTAAGGGGCGAGAAAGAAATATAGCTTAGATAAAACTCTTCAACTTGGATCGTTTGGTGTTGTATTTCTTTTACATATTTGTCTTTAGGTTTTATTAAAGTTTTTATTTGTCGGATTTTTCTCTAACTCTATTAAACGCATAGAAAGGAGGTATTAGTATATTTCCGAAATGATGAGGCTTCATATTGTATATATACGACGTCTGCGAGACCTTTCTTGAAACGAAGATTTTGGCGTAGGTTTGCAAAGGGTTTTGTGTCGTGTGGCTTCCCAAACCGCTTCGGAGTGCACTTCTACTTTCCGATCCCTCGAAAGCAGTTGGAACTATGTATAAAGTCTTTTGTGGAAGCGCTCTCGGTAGAATAGATATCTTGTTCTCGTACCGGAGCCGAGAGGAACATCTGAATAATTGACATTCGGTTTTTCTAATAAATGCTCCTCTATATGTTCTCTTAATAAGTAAACATTATCAGAGGTATAGAATTTCTTAGTAAATTACCTGTATCCAAAGCAGTCCAAGAGATACTGTAGTAACGGTGGTAACACTATAGTGCCGATTGCGCTACCGGAAATACACAGACCGTTCGCCATCCCTCGTAGCTTCTCGAAGTATTGCGTAACGATGTAAACAGTCGGCGGAAACGATAATCCAGCGCCGATTCCAACCATAAGACCGTAACTATACAAAAAGAATCAATGTTATTTCTACAGAACTTGCAAGAAAATAAAAATGTTAATTTTTTATTTCTTTTCTGCTAATAAGATGTTTCAATTCAATATACATTTTCATTAAATGCTCGACGTATAGACAAGACATATAGAGAACGGGCTTTATCAGTTCGCAGAAGTTGTGTAATGTTCGCAAATCAAGGAGACCTTTCGTATTATAAGTGATTCAATAACCGGCCTTGTTACACAATAATTTGGCACCGTTTCGCCATAGAAGTTATTAAAATTAGACCATTATAACAACTGTGTTTGCCTATTCACTTGCGACGCCTCTCGAACGTCAATCGATAAAAAAAAAAAACTGTACCTGATGTAAAGATAAGTAACTGAATTGGCAAAGTAGCTCAGCATCATGCCGCTGGCCGCAAAGGTACCGCCGATGAGGGTTACTGTTCTATAGGAGTATTTGGTCGATAGAATACTAGATAAAGGACCTGTAAAGTGTTTATATATAGATGATAGTTTTACAGAATATATATCGAGTAGTATTTTTATTCACCTTACAAATATTGTACATAAAATTTTGTTCGTAAAATAATATATATGATATATATGTTATAATATCTCAATTTTTAATTAGAAACGAATTCTTTTTTACATCTATGAATACAAACGAAACGCGAGTTGTGTTCTCGCAGAAAAATGAAGTGGCTGAAATTTGAAGTATCACAAAAAGGTGCGCGCTTACCTAACGAGCTGTACAGAAAGTAGCATAACGCTGGCATCCAGGAGGCCGCCGTGGACGACGCTTTAAAAACGTGCAGAAACTCGACGAAAAGCACGCCGAAGGACTTGACAGTGCCGGGAATGAGGAAGTTGACGACGAGGGCGGAAAAAAGCACCACCCAACCCCATCCGCCGTCCGGCGGGATCATTTTCGTCCTTCTGCTCTTCCTCCTCGTCAACATGTTCTTTTCTACCGCGGCGCAAGTCCGGTGCGATTCTCGACTGAAAACATTTTAAAGGGGGACACGTCGTTACGCGTGGATTATAATAGACACTTTCTGCCTTCCGTCGCTACACGAAGGTAAGAGAAAGATTATTATCGCTGTGTAAAGGACACAGATCAGCCTAGAGCGTCGTCCTTGACGCAATTACGCTCTTTCATAACAGCGCGCGATAAAGGAATTGACAGCATTCGATGAAATCATCCAAGTTTCGCGGAATTGCGGATTATCCCATTATACGTATTTTGCGCGATATCTCGCAAAACTTTCGCGTCCTCGAAGGTGTATTTGTATAATTTCCCTCCTCTATTCATTGTAAGATTACCGACATCCGATTTATCCCGCGCTGTGTTTGCGCGGCGCGGCGCGGCACAAACAAACAGCGAAATAACGCGTTTCCTTTTCTTATAATCGTCCGCTTATTGGCCGCGCGCTTTCCCATTGCAGAAGGATTTTCTTTTCACACTTGGCCGCATGCGACAGCTTCGCGCGTTCACCTGTGCACACGCACGGAATATATATATACGATTTTCATTGGAAACATGCGTTCATTGGAACCGTCACGTGTAACCGCGGATACGTGTCCCGGTTACCATTCACGATCGCGCACGCGAGAACGCCCGAGAAAAATTCCCGCCTGTACCAACGCGTGACGCGAGTTCGGAATAATTATTCCTTCCATTTGTTTCTAAACGTATAAAAGAATATGATAGTTGATAAGACAAGAAAGCCAGACCGTGTCTTAAATCTGCAGTCGAATGAAAAAGTACGAGGCATTTTATACATAGTAATTTTATATGGCATATCGGAAAGTTACATATACAGGAAGATCGTACATATAGGATGAAAGTGTCGTTAAACAAGACTCTCGTGACTCATGCATGCTGTCGTGTCCTTCCATTTTGATAGAAAACACGCTTCGGGGGTATCGCGGAGAGCTTGGAATTAAATTACAATTTAAAGTACGCCAGAGATCTTATACACAGTAAAAAAAATCGTGACATAAGTTTAGCTTTACAAAATTCGTTTTACCTTTCGAGTCTATATTATTCTCGAGATGTGATACTTTTACTGTTCGTATATCTGAAGATGCAAATTGCATTATCCAAACGTGAATTAATTTCGTATTACTTTTCTTCGCATTCGAGTACCAATTGACGAATTACAGTGCTAGTCGCGTCATTTGACACTTCAATCCAACGTTAATCAATCGTGTAAAAATCAGCGATTAAAAACTATCTTTAATCAGGCATCGAAATATTATTACGTATCCTAACTAGATTTTTATAAATTTTGATCAACTATCAAATTTTGAACAAATTGGAACCACTTTGACCAGGTGGAGATATCAATAATTCCAAAGTAAAAAAAACCAAGAATACTAAACGCGTCGCGTTTCCTTTTTACTTATCCTAGAGTTTACTATGTATTATATATTATAATGAATTATGGACTATGTACCATAGATTTGTTTTGTATGAATTAATAAGCGAATCTAATACCTGTCAGCCTTCTGCGAAACGATACTTAGGTATAGTTTATCGTGTCGTTACGAAAGCGAACATATATATAATAAATGGCAAAAATAAATGCTCAGAGTTACTCACATTGTATGTGCGTATGTATCCCTTCTCGATTCGCGTCTTTGTATATAGTATTAATTAGCATCTCGACGGCGAGAGCGCGTTATGTATCTACCGTATCAACGTACGTCGCTCTCGAGTTCCCGGCGGATACTCTGCGTGTTACGCGACTATCGCGTGGCGGGCAACCATTAATTTGGAATTACGAAAATTATGTGGCTTTTAGATTTGAACTTTTCATCACGTTTCTGCTCCCTAATTTAGCTAAGAATTACTGGAAGCGTAGTAGAAGTTTGACAATTTAACGGATGTCTAACAGAAATCCAACGAAGGAGACAAGCTAATAGATATTTAACGTATGTATCTATTTTTTTTTTGGTGACAAACGCATTTACAGAGCGTTTAATCGTATAATGATCTAATAAATATCTGTGTATTAAAATAAAAAAGTAGATTATAAATTTGACATAATTCGTAATACTGCAGTAATTCACAAAATTTCAAATCACTCCAAGTACTCTTTAACGAAAAATTTTTTTTTTTCTTACATTATATGTACATACATTTAAATACATTTTAATTTCTATTTTGATAGAAAGAAGAAATCTTGTACGATAAAACTTCGCATAGCTTCTATAACTCCGTTCTCGAAAACGCTGTTAATTAAAAATGTGGTTTATGACACAGATAAGTCCAAAAATACAAGTTCTTTAATTATTATTTATTCTCCGATTCTCAAACTGGTACGGATATCGCTGATTGGAGTCTCGAGGATGATCCGCGTTTGCATATTTAAGTCTTCGTTCCGAGGCAACTGACGCGCCAGTAAGTAGTAGTACAACGGTGAGAAAAGTCCCGTAATCGGCCACACGATTGCACGGCCTATCACTACAAGTAGCTAAGGTACATCGCTCACGATGTACCACGCCTGAGTACTATGAATGATTCTATTTACTACGGATGCGTAAAACGCTCGAATGTGTTCTCGAATGCGCGCCAATCACCGGAGGATCATTCTCCACAGTGAGATAATTGACTTCGCGAGATCTCGCATTGTTTTAAAAAATGATGCTCACACGTTTACAAAGCAACAACGACGTAATTTCATTTCGATCAAATTACTCTCAAACGATGTATTTCTGTCAATTTTTTATTAGATTATTCCCCCGCTTTTTCCTTATATAATTCTAAATTCTTACCGTTTATTGGAATTTCGTTAAGCTCTTGACAAGTTTAAATTGTCCAGATTTTTCACAACGTTTTCGTAACTACAGCAAGAAGAGAATTAGAAAGAGCAAATTTTTTTCAAAAATAATTGTTTGCATTACGGCGTTTAATATTTTTATATTTAAAGTTCTGCAACATATTCTGATGTTATATTAACGTCATATACCTATCACATATGACGTAATTTCATTTCGATCAAATTGCTTCGATAATAATAAAAAAAAATGATAATATTTTATATATTTCTATAAAAATGTTTTATTGAATTTTTATTTTACCCTTTTTTTACATTTAGATCTTTTTAGGTAATAAAGAATTTAGGTTAGAATTTCGCTAAATAATTGACAAATTTAAAGTCTCCAGATCACAGCGTTTTCAAAATGAATTATTACAATGAGAAAAATAATATTGTACTTAAAAATTAACTTAGAAAGGAAAAGGGCACTATATAGCTATAGGAGTGAAGCGCAGATAACTTTACGCAAATGCTGATATTTATCAAGCAAAACTTATTTATTACAAAAATTATTCTAATAGTAATATAAATAAGTTTTGCTTGATAAATATCAGCGTTTGCGTAAAGTTATCTGCGCTTCACTCCTAGTGCCCTTTTTCTTTCTAAGTTAATTTTTAATTGTATGGGAGTTTTTGTTATCAAAGAATTATTATATAATATTGTACTTAATCAAACAATATAAAAAGAATTCGAAATCCTCAAAGGAACACACTCTCTATTTGCATGAGACAAACGTGTGAAAGAAAAACATTTAAAACTTTTTAAATAAGCAAAAATATGGACAAAATAAAAATGTAAACATTGGTCTTTCTCTCTCAATCTATAGATTTATGTATTTTTAGTAATAAAAAAATGTTAAGAATGAATAATTACATAATCCTGACAGAATTATACCAAGCATTTTCCAAAACACATGCCAAGGGAATAAATAACCGGTTCTATTAATACATTCTTAAGGCCAAAAGTTTGTATGTGAATGTATTATGCGCTAAAGGTTAATGTCGTTATTAAAGCCAAAAATCTAACCATCGAAGACTCTTTCAGTTTTCTAATCGAGAAAAATAGGTAAATAGATAGATACATTAATAGATAGATATATTAATTCTATACTTATTGTCAATTGAAATATCTTGCTTTTTAACATAACATAAAAAAAAAAGAGATTACAATGAATAAAAAACATTTAACAATATTTTCTCGATCGCTATATCTAGCAAATTGTTTGTACATTCTCATAGAAATATTACCTTTTTGTTAAATTAATTGATCAAATATTTGCAATTTTGTGATACTTACTCGAGTTTAAAATTATAATAGCACGCTCTCTCTCTCTTTCTTCTCAGATGGAGTATTCGAAACTATATAATAAATTATATGTTTAATAAGCATTAATAATAACCTCGCAATCCACTTATATAAAAAAGTAATGTAGAATAATATTATTACAGAAATCAATTTGCATAATCAAATTATATAATTATTTCAATAACAATCGATTACAATTATTTCAATCTTTAAATATAATATTTTTTATAAAATTATATAATATATAACAATATTGATAAATCGAAAAAAGAAAATGTCAAATAAACTATTCTAAATAAACATAGCAATTATTATAGCAAAGTATAACCAACGCTAGGCATTCTCTAAAATATTTTTATTTTATCATGTAACATTTATTCAGGAAAAAAATGGCATCGCGTCACGGCGTAAACTTTATCGCATTAAATAATTTTATGTTTAAAATTTATTTGCTATTTATTTGCTATCAGGTTTTATGAGCTCTATGCACAAACGTCGGCTGCCGCGTATATAATACATATATACGCTTATAGTTATTAATTTAAAGCGCTCTGTTGCCACAGCATTCATGAAATAGCGTGGGCAACTCATATCTCGGCAATAACAAATGGCACGCTCGTTAACGTTCGAGCGCCTTGAAGCATTACGATGAATTAATATCCGTAAACAGAATCCGAAAGGAGCGAAAACACGTTCCGATACGAAAAGTTATCTGCGCTTCACTCCTAGTGCCCTTTTTCTTTCTAAGTTAATTTTTAATTGTATGGGAGTTTTTGTTATCAAAGAATTATTATATAATATTGTACTTAATCAAACAATATAAAAAGAATTCGAAATCCTCAAAGGAACACACTCTCTATTTGCATGAGACAAACGTGTGAAAGAAAAACATTTAAAACTTTTTAAATAAGCAAAAATATGGACAAAATAAAAATGTAAACATTGGTCTTTCTCTCTCAATCTATAGATTTATGTATTTTTAGTAATAAAAAAATGTTAAGAATGAATAATTACATAATCCTGACAGAATTATACCAAGCATTTTCCAAAACACATGCCAAGGGAATAAATAACCGGTTCTATTAATACATTCTTAAGGCCAAAAGTTTGTATGTGAATGTATTATGCGCTAAAGGTTAATGTCGTTATTAAAGCCAAAAATCTAACCATCGAAGACTCTTTCAGTTTTCTAATCGAGAAAAATAGGTAAATAGATAGATACATTAATAGATAGATATATTAATTCTATACTTATTGTCAATTGAAATATCTTGCTTTTTAACATAACATAAAAAAAAAAGAGATTACAATGAATAAAAAACATTTAACAATATTTTCTCGATCGCTATATCTAGCAAATTGTTTGTACATTCTCATAGAAATATTACCTTTTTGTTAAATTAATTGATCAAATATTTGCAATTTTGTGATACTTACTCGAGTTTAAAATTATAATAGCACGCTCTCTCTCTCTTTCTTCTCAGATGGAGTATTCGAAACTATATAATAAATTATATGTTTAATAAGCATTAATAATAACCTCGCAATCCACTTATATAAAAAAGTAATGTAGAATAATATTATTACAGAAATCAATTTGCATAATCAAATTATATAATTATTTCAATAACAATCGATTACAATTATTTCAATCTTTAAATATAATATTTTTTATAAAATTATATAATATATAACAATATTGATAAATCGAAAAAAGAAAATGTCAAATAAACTATTCTAAATAAACATAGCAATTATTATAGCAAAGTATAACCAACGCTAGGCATTCTCTAAAATATTTTTATTTTATCATGTAACATTTATTCAGGAAAAAAATGGCATCGCGTCACGGCGTAAACTTTATCGCATTAAATAATTTTATGTTTAAAATTTATTTGCTATTTATTTGCTATCAGGTTTTATGAGCTCTATGCACAAACGTCGGCTGCCGCGTATATAATACATATATACGCTTATAGTTATTAATTTAAAGCGCTCTGTTGCCACAGCATTCATGAAATAGCGTGGGCAACTCATATCTCGGCAATAACAAATGGCACGCTCGTTAACGTTCGAGCGCCTTGAAGCATTACGATGAATTAATATCCGTAAACAGAATCCGAAAGGAGCGAAAACACGTTCCGATACGAAGGTAACGCCGCGTAACGGGTGGATGTTAATACACGCGCACGCACGCGGGGTCGGTGGAGCGCTAACCAACCCTTATTATAAAAGATTAATTATATATCCCGTGTTTCCTTCCGCGGTGACTATAAGTACGTTTCGTTATTAGCAAATAAGACTTTCAGATTGCTTTTTAGGGGAAGTCAAATGCCAGAGAGAATATAGTTGAAATTCAATATTAAATCTCATTGCTAGTTTATTCACAATATATTCTGTGTGTGTGTGTGTGTGTATATATATATATATATATATATATATATATATACATATATTATAAACACACATATACAATATGTACATAATAGATCATCACTAGATAAAGTGATGGAATCATGATTCTAAGTGAAGTATAGTTGTTTTCGATAAACATGTTATTTCTCAAACGTATAAAGCATTATACATTCATTGTAGTATGATTAAATCAAGCTGCTAATGATTGTGATATCAAAATTTTGTTGAGCTGTTAAGTTCTTCTTCACATTTTTGGTTGTATTTTTCATGATATAGTAATCTTTTATAATTAATTCTTATTTTACTTTATATAAAAAGTGAACTTTTTAAAATTTTATTGAATTAAAATTCTTATTTCTTTTTTTATTTTAATTAAATGAATGTATTTTATATCACATACATAAAATTTCTGCGTTTCCTCGTGGACAATCTTACTACGTAAAGTATACAGAAATTTCCTCTAGTTGGAAAAATTTGTGTACATATTTCCGGGCACGCATATATACATATTTATTTCTCAAGTTGCGCGCAGTTGGAAAAAAAATATGACACAATAGCATACTGACGACAAACGATATCATGCATAAATTGTAACAGATATATTTCTACGAATAACGACATATGTTTCCATCCAATTCCAAATCAAGCATATAAGATTGCATGTGAAACACAAGGTTACTACTCTAACAGAATTGGCCAACAAATCTATATAAACTGCTCTTATATTTTTTTAATAAAACTAAAATTTTCTTTTTGCAGTTTGTATCTAATTGTAAGTCTATATATATATATATATATATATATATATATATCTATATAGATAGATAGAAATTTTATGAATAGATTTTGAATAAATGCTTACCTATCTTTTAACGATATATTTATGAGCTTTATATACTATATCTTAAAAATAAATATATGCATGTTTTAATGCGAGTTTGGATTACGCCAATAAATGTTAAATAATTAGTACGTCTAATTACTACCAATCATTATAACAAATGATCGAATACGTTTAAGAATATAAGAATCAAACAATAGATTTTTCAAAATTAAATAACATAATTAATCGTAAATATGTAGATATAATGTAAATCATTTGCAAAAATAAAAAGATTAGAACTTTAAAAATAAAAAGGTCAGAATAGAAACAATAAAGAATAGAAGAAAAAACGATGATAACATATATATCCTAAATAATATTTCTACTTTCATTTTTACTTGATTTATTAAACTTACATTAATAGCAAAAATTTCAAATTGATTTTATAGCGTTTTCAACCCGACTTGATTTGTCCAATCTAGGTTGGATCAAGCTCTACTATTGGTTGACGTTACACGCTCTACCAATAGAAAAACATAAAACGTTATTAATTCAACCAAATCTTAGTAAAAAAAAAAAATTGATAGAGAACGATAGAAGAATCCTATCGTTTTGAATATGGAATCTGGTTTGTGAATCCATTAATTTGAGAAACAAGTCTTATAGAAATCTTGTACAAATCTTATAGAAGTTTAGAACCCGATAAAATACAATAGGATTCGTACCCGAGCTATCGTGAGGCTCGCGAGGTCGACGATAGAAAGTGATATAAACTTATATAGAAAACGATAGAAATTGATAGAAATCCTATCGTGTTCTCAATCGTTCTCTATCAATATTTTTTTTACCAAGGGAGTTAGTGCAAACCTGATTGCGCCGAAAACGCCATTAGATTTTATACGAGAAATAATGGGGACATTATTAACTCATCAGTAAGTAGAAGAAATTCGATTAAGAGTTCATCAAATTCAATCCATATCATCTGGCTTCTTAAAGATACAAGAATATGAAGTTATTCCCTAAGCCAAGTCAAATCAACTGTACGAATATCGAATGAACATTAGAAAATCTAAAAGTCATCAATGAGCACCATTTGCCCAACTAACTTTCATCCAAATGCAATAATAATAATAATAATAATCATGCACTGACCTGGTAGACATTTCCTCTTGTTTCGACATCTCTTCTTTTCACCTAATGGTGGTGGAGGAAGGATGGAGGTGGCGGTATAGCTCAGTCACCCGCAGAGAATTATTCTTTCTTTTTCGTTCTCCTGTCTCTCTCTCTTTCTCTGTCACTCTGGTAGGAGGGCAATGGGAAGCAGGATACTCATCGGACGTTCGCTATCATCCTGTGTCTTGGACTAGACTGCACACTGGCACCAGAGAACCCGTTCCACTCCCTCTTCTTTTTTCCTCAGCTCTGCTCGAACCAGCGCAGGAACACCCGAAGGTTGCCCTCAACTTTTATCGTACCAAAACGGTCACCGCGCCGCGTCATTATAAGACCGGTGTGTGCACCACGGTATGCACGTTACGGTGTGCACGTAAGGATTGTTTTCTTCGAGTTGGCTGGCTGATCGGCTCTGACCGGCCAGCTATAGCTAGCCGACTGGTTGGTCTCGGCAATGCCTATACTTTTAACTGAGCTACCCACACGGAGAGGTGCTCTTGGTACACCGCGGCGAGACTAGGTACAAGGTGGAGACAGGTCGAATAGCGCGCGATCCAGCGCGCGATCACTGAGAGGGTGGGAGATTTTCTTCCACCGCGTGTGTGGACGCAACCACCGCTTGCTCGCTGAGCTCCCACCAACGCGCGACATCGCGCCCATCGCGGCCAGCTACCGACGTCGACGTCGGCGGCGGCGCGACGCGGCTCCTAAAGATGCGATGACTTAGGCACACCGCAAACATCTCGTATACGCATCCCGAGAATACTCGCCGGATGTAGATCTTCAAGGATTTTCAAGGCTGCCACGTAATCTACCAGGATACACATATATCTCTCGCGCGACAGTTTCCCGACTAAAATCTTATCCCTGTATATAAGTGTGATGCAACGCGACAGAAGACAAGAAGAAACGATGGTATAATCGATAATTGTCGTAAAACGTAAAACTCGTTATACGCAATCATTGCATTACGTTTATATACAATTATTACATTTACGTTAGTTGACAAGGTAGTTAACAAATGTCGCGTCGCGTGAGAACAGGTATTTAATGGTTTTGAGATCCATTCGTCTTCCATCTTGATATAATACATATATAATGTCGCGAAGATTCATCGTATTTTATGAAATTGCTACACGAAATTAAAATGCAAAATTTACCGCTTCGTTTCTTCCTTCTCTTCGAAGGCAAAAATCCTGTTCTTCCTTTTAAACAACCTTTTCCCTTTACTTATCTGTGCTTGCTTCTTGGTGCTTCTCCTTCTGCTCCTCTCCTTGCTCGGCAAGTCTGGCTCTCGGGGATCGTCATTCTGCAGGTTCGCATCATTAGTTTTTATTTTGCCACGGAACCATATGCTATTTTTATCCGGCAATCCTCATCCTCCCTTCCTTTTCTTCGTCATCTTCCTCTTCTTCGTCCTTCTTCGCTCATCCTCGAAGACTACCTGTACGCATGTATGTTATTATTATACGGAACTTAAGATCAAGGGACTCTGCAAAACGGGACAGAACGAGGACCATTCCTTCGTCAAAAAGTTCAAAGAACTTATTAATTCGCGGGCATCTTCAGTTTTACGCTCCCATTCCTTGATATAAGTATTATAATATCTATAAGTTACATTGACTACAATTATGTAACTTATTATTTTTTTTTTATTAAAATAAATACAAATGTTAAAGATAGTTTTGTGGGATTTCAAGAATACATGAAGTATAAGTAAATTATTACGAACTTTCGTGATCGTTGATGCGTAAATAATACTTCTGAGACGATAATATATAATTCGTAAACAAGAGGCTCATATATATTCTTTTTACTTATGACGATTAATTATTTTTCAGAACATATCAATATATATTTTCTTTTAGCTTTTATTCGTAATTTTACATTGGAAAAGCAAACACGAAAAAACATTCCGATTGTCGTGTAGAAAAATATAAACCAAGAGAACACACGCAATAATTATTCCTTTTCCAATGTGAACGAATAAAGAAACTGAATGAATGATGAAATGCTGAACGTTTAATTTCAACGCGAGAGTTTTCTCGATTTTCTACGGATTGCAACGCGACGCTGACGTCGCGCGGAGGGGTATTCTCCGCGCTTCTCTCGTTTTGTATTTTTTTTCTTTTCCCCCAATAGCGCGGCGTACGCATACCTTTCACTTATACCTTCGCAACCTTCTATTGACAGTACATTATTAACATAATGTTTTCCATCGCGCTTGTATTGCTTTTCGCGAGTGCAGATCTCCATGACGCGGCGGCGCGGCGTCGCGTCGCCGCAACCTATAACGTATATACGCGCGCATTCAAGCCTAAGCAAAAGCACTAACTCCAAGAACTGGTTTTACCTCACGGAATACTCGAACCAGCGAACAAAGGAGGCGGCATTCATTGCCTGCGATTACTGTATAAAAGTATAAGTACGCGTTCTATTTCCCTCTCACTCTCTTCCCATGTTTTTCCCGCCGTTTTTTCCCTCTTCTCTTTTCGAGAAAATGTTTAGATTTATCGGTCATTATGCGTCATATATCTCGGTCCACAACGCGTACGTGACATCGGCCGCGTATCTGAACGAAAAAATTCGCAATACGTGTATTTTCGCTACTTCTAGGGTGTACAGAGAAAGATATATCTACATTCTGAATGAATACACTGTAATCTTAAGTATCGGAACAATGTTCCTTAAGCGGACGATTATTTTCATCTTTCTGGCGCTAATGGATTCTACAGAAAAATATACCGTTATAGCGACCTTGCTACTAATGGTGGCTTGTAGTTGAATAAGAGAATTACCATGTTCACTGTTTCTTGAAATAAACAAGAGTTGTGTGCGTAGCAATAATAGTTTCCTATATCCTATTATAATTTCTATGATTCGTTTAAAGTCCAAGGGAATCGCAAAGTGATTCGTCTATGTGTATGTATAACGCATATAGTCTTTAAAAAAGTTGAAAGATATTTTTTAAAAACCTAAATTTAATCGAAAGTAAACTAGAAATTCAAAATTTTAAGATTTCGATATAAATTCGATATGATAGAAAACTTTGACAGAATAATTACAAAGAGTTCAAATAGAATTTCAGCATAATTACTGTAATAATTAATTATTATAATACAATTACAATTTGCTGTACGTTACGTTTAATTATTATATATATATATATATATATATAATAATAATACATTAATTAATTATTATATCATACGTTCAATTTACTGTATGTTACGGTACGATGTTATCAATTAAAGTGGCTATATTTATAACTGTATTCAGCGTGATTGGAAGTAATCGTATGGTGTCAATATTAGCCCGATCTGGTCAAGAATAGCCCGGTAGGAATCCCGTCTGACCACCTTGCCCCCCATGACCGGTCAACGTCTAAATTAGGGTGAATGTGCCGTTGTAGATGTATATTATTTTTTCAGTTATCGACTTGCCGCACCGTAACATATAATCGCTGTTAATCGCTATTACCTTGTTATGCGAAGTGCATAATAACATTTTTAATTAAACAATATTTAGATATTAAATCTTATATAAGACCGTACACATGTGAGAGACACAACCAATAAGAAATTGCCTTTAACGGTCGAGTTGGATCTTAGGTGCTATTATAATAATATTTTTAATTAACCAACCCTAATAGCAAAATTATTGTAAATATGTGCAAAATTGTATACATGACAATATGGAAATTCTCAGAATTTTAAATAGTGCAATTTCTTTGTCAATTCATTCTTCTAATATTTTATTGAGTTTTAAGATTATTAATTATCGATATTCTTGAAAATTAAAACCAATCTGAAATTAGATTTTAAATGCATCTAATTATTCATTTCATCATTTCATAAAACATCTTTGAAATTTTTAAGTGTTAAAAGACTCTAAAATCTTGAAAGACTCGAACATCGTTATTATCTTTTCTTAGGTACATACATACAGTATTATTGAAATTTCTGATTTATATATAATATTCTTATCGCTTAACATAAAAGTAGCGACATCTTCCAATAAGTCAGCAAAACTTTGTTGTGCGCTTACATTGATTAAATTGATTTACACTTTGCACGTAAAATACATACCTATATTAAAAAATCAAATAATATTGGGAGAGACTAGGAGCTCCAAAAAGAACATAATAACAATTATTTATATTCATATTATTTGGTTTACAGAAGTTAACATAGACTGAATCTACAATTAAAGTCAGTTCGCTGTAGACATTATTTTTACAAACATATAAATATACTCAGTTACAAAAATAAATGGAATTTTTTATTTGATTCTTGGAGTTTTGTAAATGTTACAAGTAACATTTTGTAAAATACATGTAACGCGTTCGTATAAATTATTAATATTAAGTATAATACCATATTATCGTAAAATTTTGTAATTTCTCATAAAGTATCGCGTTTTGTAAGCTTATATGTATATAAGTGTAATATTATTTTTTAACTAAGTTATATATATATTAAAACTAGTATTATTAGTATCATTATTAGTACACATCTCGGTATCACTAGCAACGATTCAAATTTTAATGAAACGTGAAACTGAAAAAATCGAATAAGCTAAAAGTATTTTTCGTTGTTGGTGAAACCGAAATTAGCTGAACACATTTTCATATCTCTCCACAAATACACCGTTTTTAATAGACATCCACATCACATTACTACAAGTATCACTCAATAACAGATTAACAAAAACAAATTTATTTAACTCGAAAAAAGAGTAAAATTTTTATATTTATAAAAATATTTATAATTTCCATAAATATTTATAATTTCCATATTTTTTTATCACGTTTACTCGAGAAATTTATATTATTCCATATTTTTCTTTACATTACCAGAAAATTATACGGGATTGAAATATCGTTAAAATTACGTAGAATATCATAATTTTGTTGTAAAATAGATATAACATTTTTAAATTACATACATTTAAAGCATAACTATATTGGAAGACATTTGATTATCAATTGTGAATATATTTATATTGATAATTAATTATCAATATAAAAAAACATATGTAAGTAAAAATAATTTTATTGTAACATCAAAATTAGGATCTAAACGCAATCAGAACTTGTGGAGTATATATAGCATTAAGATATTAATTAATTGTTAATTACAAGGTCATCTGCATAAAAATGTTATTGGCCCCATTCTGATTTTATTATTTGCACTTAAAATTTTCAACCACTAAGTGCTATGTGTAAATATAAAGATAAAGGTAACATCTAAACAATTTGAACAATTCTCATAAACACATTTTGAATCAAAATATTATTGCTCGATTGATTTGTTCGTTTGGTAATACTATTATATTATTTTGATTTTCGTAATTAGACATTATGATTCAACCTAAAGAAAGAGAAAAAATTAGAACACTGCTAGTAATAGCAGGAGTATTTTCAACAAGTGGCTGAATACAGAGTATTTAAGTCTTTTCAAGTTATAAAATATTTATATAAATTGTTTCGATCGAATGCATTTTTTTGAATATCATATGTACCAATACGATGTCAAAAAAAAAAATATATATATATATTGACAACATATATTCATCGACTCAAATGTGTGAGAAAAAATAATATATTTCAATTAATATTTCTAAAGTATTTTTTAAATAAGAAATGTCGAACAAAAGCATATCCTACATTTCATATTCATAATTATCCTGTTCTTAGCATATACGAAAAAACAAACATTTCCTTTATATTTCAAAATGTTGGTCTATATTAATAACTTGTGTCGTCATAAAGTAGAACCTTTCTCAATACGCCTCCATTTGTAAATTGTGTTTTGCTGCAATTTGAGATCATTAATCTACCAAACAATAAGCAGCGATCAAAAACAAATCTGTAAACACTGTGAAGACTCTAGGAACCGTGTGCTTTTGTTTACTACCAATCCAATTATATCATAATATCTCAAGCAATACGTCACGTTATAAATAATAGTTGTACACTGTTTTAAACTTTCACTGAGCAATAGTATTTATAGATTTTTTCCTAGTAAAATTTATTACAAAAATAGTTTATTTATATTTGTCATTGGGCTATTGTGTGTAATATTTGTGCAATGCGAAAATTGACCTTCTATATATAGCATGAAAGCTACTTTCATTAATCTATAAATTATAAATTGGACAGAATGCAAAAAATGGCATTAAAAAAGTTATTTTTCTGTCGCATAATTACGTTATTGTAATTATGATAAAACAATGTCGCATGTTGATGATAATCGTTGGTAAAATTTTAGCGTACTAATAAGAAAAATACATGATAATCGTTACAATAAATTTGACTTAAAATCTTATTTATGTAATTAATATTAAAATCCTCATTATTTTCAATTTTAAACACGAAAAAAAAATTTCGCGGAAGTGTAAACTTTTCCGAAGAGTATATAAAAAATTTAGATCTTTTTATGCCATTTTATGGCACAAAAAATTATCGTTATCTCTCTCTTGTGTTTCTTGAATTCTCACTACCATAAATACAATCCGATAAGTGTGATAAATCATTCGTCAGAATAAATAATTTTGTTATTACAGCATGCAACATTTCTTCTTATTCTTCTTATAATTTGGTTTTAGCGGCGGCCGTTCCGACAGTTGAAATTTTCTGACGATTCTCACCGACTCGTGGAAAGCTTGATCGACATTCATCCGTAGCTTAGCGCTGCATTCAATATATGGAATCTTCAATTGACGCGCCATATTTTGTGCCTCCTCAATTGATACCTAAAATAAAGATTCAAATACATTACGAAAATTTGAAGAAATAAAAATAAATGAAATTACATTTATTGTTTTCTATATAAAGAAATATTCAGAATAAAATTAAGCTGCTAATTTATTAAAATTACTTACACTCCTTTGGTGGTCCAAATCTGCTTTATTTCCAACCATCAGCATAGGAAATTCATCTCGATCCTTTACCCGAAGTATTTGCCTGTGAAACTTTAATATCTCGTCGAAAGACGAGTGATCGGTGACGGCAAACACAAGGAGGAATCCCTCGCCGCTTCTCATGTATTGTTCGCGCATTGCACTAAATTCTTCTTGGCCAGCAGTGTCCAATACTACACATAAACATAATTTCGATATGTTAATTGATCATTGATTCTGGATTAAATTATGTTCAGATCAAGCAAACAAACATGAATGAATATGTGTTCGATGATCAAAATTAACCGGATTTACTTAAGATAAAATCGATACAAGCCAAAAAAAAACAATTCTTAAATATAAATAGATTTATTATTACTTACTGTCGAGTTTAGCTGGTACATCGTCGATAACGCACTGCTTCGTATAAGAATCCTCAATTGTTGGATCATAATCGGTCACGAAATAACTCTGGAAAAAATTTTAGACTACAGTATATATAGAATACATAATATAATATATTATTATATAATTTTACATATTTTTTTTATGTTTTTGTAATTTTATAATTTTATAATTTCGAACATTTGTTAACTTGCGATCATTGTAACATTGATAATGACCTAACAGAGATCAAAACGTCTATTATCTATTTCTTATTTTTCTAATTAAACTACGTAAAAATTAATAACAGTATATATACAAGAGGCTCCTATGAATAAATCAAATATTAAAATAAATTGCCGTTGAGAGCCAACACTGGATAAAAATGTGTAATAAACTTTATTTAATTACATAAAATTGCAAACGTTTCGACAATCATGTAAGTTTTGTATCATACTATTTATTCATTTATATTGATCTTTATTTCTAAAATCTCACACGATCACACTATTTATTTCAGTGAATTTTTCACTTCAATGATTGTGATATTTGTTTACAAGTGGACAACACCTATAGCTATTAGTTCGTTTTTGTATTGTAATTATTTATGACATCATTTACTTCATTAAAGAATTTTTTCTTGCATTGAAAAGGACTAAGGTCGAAACGTTTGCAATTTTATGTAATTAAATAAAGTTTATTACACATTTTTATCTAGTGTTGGCTCTCAACGGCAATTTATTTTAATATTTAAACTACGTAATTTTAACCAAATGACAATTTTTATTTACAAACAATTGTATATTTTAACGAATTTTTTGGTTCGTAGCCCGTTTTCTTTTTCATTATTTTTATATATTTCATCGTATATTTAAGTATCCTTAGAAAAATCTCATATCTCATATTTTAAATTTATAAAAATTTCTAAAAAAGAACCTTAAACTTTTTCAGAATTTATAAGTTTTCTTCAAAAACTACAAAAAATAAAAATTGTTTTAATCTTCTAAAATATTTCAGAATTCACGCGTATAAAAAATTTTTTTAATCTAGATTTTTTAGTACTTCTGAAAAGTGTTCCAATGTTTCGTATAAAAAATTTGAGATATTTTCTAAAAAGTTGTAAAATTATATAAAAATTTAAAAAATTTTGAAATTTATGTACATAAACACTTTAAAAAATTATATAAAAAATTGTTAAAAATATTTTTATCAGAGATGTTCTAAATTAGGGTTCGTGAGCTAAATTTTGGACAGTTCAAATAAGAATACTAATTATATATTTTTTAATAAAATCACAAAAAATTCAAACATTTTTCATATTTGCTGATCGTCGACAAATTGCATTTATCTATTCAAGCTGATAAATCGCATTTGATTTACGCGACTCTTACCGCGCATGTCGCGTTATGAGTATTCATAAATATTTAAATAGTAAAAGGACTATTTGTATAAAAGTAAACAACACTAAGAAAAGGGCAATGTAAGAGTCAAACAATCAAATTAATGTAACGTCTAGTTAAAACAGATTTTGAAAAACATGTAATTAATCCATAAATATAAAAACATATAACTACTTAAAATATATATAATAACGTTACAAGTTTCAGTTCATTGATTGAGACAACGGTTTCACGCAGAAATCGATATACAAATATTACATTATCTTTTCATAAACCTCGTGAGTCTCCATGTAGAAAACGACATTGCTCGCAAACGATTGGAGGTTCGTATGTGTGTTCAATATCTTAATAAGATCACATGTAAAGTAGAATCAATTTGTCGATATAAGTATAATGATTATGGTCTAAACAGCAGATACATTGTCAATGGAAATTAAAAGTTACACTACATATGTAAAGAATACTTTTGAAAATCGGTGAATTTTAGGGAAGAACATTGTGTATCAATTATTAGGTGTACAAATTAGTTCGGTCCGTTTTTTGTGTTCAAAAATGCATTTATTTCAAAACAAAATGAATGAACAGATTAATTAAAGTATTGTCCATCGCTGACTACTACTTTTTCCCATCTCTCAGGCAATTTTCGAATTCCATCTTGAAAAAATGATTCGTCTTTGGAGGCAATATAAAATTAAATGTGTAATCATTGCAGCGGTTCGACATAAAACCAATAAATGTTTATGTGATAAGTGAATAAATGTTACTTGAATATATTTTTGTGTTCTTATAACTCACACAACACCAAAAGTTTTCAGAAATGTCTTAGAAATATTTCAATTAAAAAGTGAAACATTTCGTAAAAGTTGCGAAACATGTCTGCAATATCTCTAAGATCTCTATCTGGAATAGCAAAACGTCCGCGATGTTTGCACATGAAACCTTGTTGAAAGATTATTGAAATATTACAGAAAGAATCTGTAATTTTTTTGAAATATTAGATTTCAGCTATTTCTAGTACTTCAAAAATGCTATTTAAATATATATTTAATTGAGTCTCTCTCTTTCTCCCTTTCCCCTGACTTTTCCAAGTTTTCCAGATGGAAATGAGAAATTTTAAGCAGTTTAAAATTAAGGATTGTAGGAAAGCTAGCCTATATTATTAAAAACAACGCACAAAAGTTTAGCATAAAATTTTGAGTGCAATTTAAGCTAAAAAATAAATTAGAATATTATTGGAAAAAAGAATGAAGTTATAATAAAAAAGGGCTATCAAATAAAAATACTAAACAAAATATGTATAAATTTCAATTATTTCACTAAAATCGTTTAAACGTCAGATATAAATATTTAAAAAATTGTAACAATTATTTGGTATAGCAGTTTAGAGAATTGTGAGCAAATTGAAAAATTCCAGACTCTTTTCCCGGTTTCTATAATTAATTCCAATTTTCCTGACTTTTCCCAGTTTTCCAGGTCCGTGGCAACTCTTGACACATACACGTATACAAAAAATGTTCACTCTTCACGTTCCTGCTCAAGAAAAACAGTTACATGATCGATTACTCAGAACTCAGAAGTCTCAAGAACCTAAACGTGACTTATTATGTGCTCTTTCGGATTTCTCTGCTATAACTCATAGCACTCGCACTACTCGCAGTGAGTAGCGGAACTGAGCAGGAATGCAAATATGTAGTTCTTGGGTCCCGAGAATGGAGATACACTATTTCATTTCATCCTAGCAGCTTCAGGTTTCTATAGTCAAAGGGTGGAATCGAGCCCGGCCCTTCAGATTACGAATCGACCACCCTGAGCCTGAAATCATTCGTGTTTGCTAATCTTAAATATCATGCCATAGCGCAAATAGCGCAATGCAATTAGCGCAGCGGCGCGGCGTGCTCCCTTCCGCCCTCTCGCGGAGTACGCATTCGAGGTTTCGTTGGAATCGACGCGCCACGGCGCTGTCGCGTATATGACCATATATGACGATTGCGTATGCGCTGTGCTGTGACATAATGCCCAACTCATCCCAACTGTTGTTTTTCTTCAATCGTAACTGGACGTAACGCGACACGACGGTATTTCACTCTCACGATTTATACCCTCCCCCTCCCGTCGTTATTATTCTACCGTTTTTATCGCCTTGATTATCTCCCGACGAGTATTCAACGGTCGAACGATAATCAAGGTTTCTGAGAGCACGAGAGATCGTATTTCGGAGCAATGACGTGAACTATTTTGTTCCTCTCGTTCGCTCCCGGAAATCGCGCTTTTCGAATGGAAGGGAAATTCAAATCCCGTCAAGAACAAGCGAGATCTGCCAGCGTGGAAAGAAAAAAAAAAAAAAACGCTTCTGCGCATTGAATCGCACGCGAATCGCTCGCGATCAATGTCGCGGATTATCGGTTTATCCGCGTAAAACTGGCGGTAGGGAAAGAAAATCGATGCTGAAACTTACTTGGATGAATTGTATCGTGATCGCCGATTTTCCGACACCGCCCCCACCCACGACGACGAGCTTGTAGGTCTGCGCGTAGCTCTGTCTGTCAGCGACTTTCGACATCTTTCTCCTCTCTCTCGCTCTCTCGTGCCTGCCTTGCTCTCGCTAGCGCCGCACGCGCGCGATTAAACGCTCATCCCGCGTGTGTGAGATTTGACACGATATACAGCTGGAGACGACGCGACGTGCGCGGAAACGGAACGGACGTTTTTCGCGACAATCGCCGAGAGCGAAACCAAGTCTCGAGCGCGCAGCCTCGAGTAGCCCCGTGGTGGACGAGGGGCTCTCACGACGACTTTTTATGGTCGGGATTCTCCCTCCGCGACGGTCTGTCAGTAACGTAGGTTTTAGCGCTTTGCGGAGCAGCCGCGGGCGGCGCTGCCGGCGGTCTTCCTAACCTGAAATTTTTGCTAATTGTGAATTGTGAACAATTTGTGAAATTGTAACAACTTAGCACATCTCAGTGCACTTCGGTGATCAACCAGTGATCGACTATTACTTACGCGGATTGTGTGGAGTCATCTTAATAATAATTTTTCTACATAATACACATCTTTCAATTAACACGTAAGTGTGTTATTGTCGTTCTGAAAATTACCGTATTTATTAATTATCTACATGATAAAGTAAATAACATTTAAAAATAATTTGCTACGACATGATAACCTCTCGTGATAAAATAAAATTTTATGGATATTTGATATATAAATACTAATTGATTAAAATAGGAATTGCTTTGAAAAATAATTATGTATATAGGTTACAATAATTAATTCTTTTTATAGGGAATAATAAAGTTATTATTTAGCTTCTATGTCTTATATTGCAGACATTCAAAATGAATAGCTCGACAGATCCAAGGCGACCGGATAAAGAAGTTCGTTACAAACCTTCGAGTTCAAATAGTATGACACATGTGCAAGACGACATGACTCCAGAATATATGAACGTCATAGGAATGATTTTTAGCATGTGCGGTCTAATGATGAGATTGAAATGGTGTTCTTGGGTGGCACTCTATTGTTCCTGCATTAGTTTTGCTAATACACGAATAAACGAAGACACCAAGCAAATCCTCAGTTGCTTCATGCTGTCGATATCGGCAGTAGTGATGTCTTACTTGCAAAATCCACAGCCTATGATACCACCATGGGCAAGTGCTATTCAATAAATTTTTGTACTAATCTGATGTTTTGTACAGCTTATCTTATTAAGAAACCATTTTTGTCTTATACATGAATGCAAGAAAATTTCGACACAGTTAAAATAGAATATCTATATTAGAATGAATGATTATTATATTTATTGTATAAGGAATCTTCCTATATCGTATAAATGAACAATAATGAATTCATTGTAATAATTTATTATTACTCGGTATGCAATCCGCGTTACATTTGTAATTTTTAAAATCATTCTATGATCACTCAATATTCAGATAATCTATTGCATATACACTATATACAGATGTAGCGTTTTGTTCGTCGTTTATTTCTTATAAATAATTTTATATTATGTATCATGTTAAAATTAATTGTATATTCTACGAATTTTTCCTAAGGGTACTATATAAATAAATGTTACATTTTTTAAGTATATATATATACATACATATATATGTATATGTGTGTGTATGTGTTTGTATGTTATATTGACTAGAATTTAAATGCCACCTGGTGCTATTTTTTTTTTTTTTACATAAATACAGCGACACCAAAACTCCAATTCTCAAGAAAATCGCATACTTGATAGTCGCATCTTTGGACTATGTAATAGCGAAATATTCTTTCATTTGCACTAAGTATCATCGTCAAACTCGAACAACTTGATTAGAGTATAATAAAAATGTCTATTTCGATAGTTATTATCGTATCGATTTGTACATTAAAGCATGTTCTAAGAACAGTAAAAATTATATCAAAAAATTATATGAAACATATGTGAGATTCGATTTTTTATCTATAATATTTGACACAGATTTATATTTAGAAATATATAAAAATCAATAAGATCTCTACTGTAATCTTAATAAACGATATCATTACAAAATAGGCCAGTACCGCAATATGCTGCAGTACATACATATTTTAATCTTGATTAGAGAAATTTATAGTTGCAGAAATGTATTTCTTTCCGATTTCCCCTAAACAAGTGGGAAATAGATGTTGTGATATGAAATTTGAAAATTCTCTCAAAAAGATAGATAATTTCATATTACATAATTATATCTAGCTTCATTGATTAGTTATTAAAATAATTATTCGATTATTTTTTAATATTGTTCTTAGGAACACGCACACGTAATTCTAAGTAATCCCGTTCGAAGTTCTTCTTTGTAATTGTAACTATTACAATAAGATTACAAAATTGAAATATCTTTAGTCGAAATATTGGTATCAAGATAGGACAATGATTGAAGAAAGTACGTCTGAATCTGTAAATCGAAAATGAACAATCCAAACGCACAAAAAACATAAAAGCGTTTTAAAGATGTCCTAATTTTAGATTTTCACACGTCTGTTAAAATATACTATTTAGTTTGATTACTCAAAACATTTGAAAATGAAGGGAGAAGAGGAAATTGGAGAAGAAAACTTTGGCACATGTATTTAAACTACTTCTCTGACTACTATTATCATGTTTCATGGTCCTCGATTAGTTTTTTATTTCAAGTCGCTGAGTTAAAGTCATTTTACGCGAAATGAATATTCCTTTTAATTAAAGTTTGTGAGAGAATCAAACCGCTGCACAGAGCGAAGTTATCACTTTATTTCTTTCGGCTTTTTTTTTTTTTATTGAATCAATGCCTTTGCATTGATTATGCCTTTTTATCTAGAATCTATGACTAGACACTGCTCTCTCCTCGTCCCACCAACGTAATGGGATACACGTATTTTTTCCGCTTAGCGTTGAAAAATGGCGAATTGTGCTGGCCGGGAGTCGGTGTGGGCGATAGGCCTCGAAGAAGCGGTAACGAGGCGTCACCGCCCACGCCCGTAGCATCGATTCCTTTCTTCCATTCAGCACCTAGATCCGTGGCCGGTGCCATGAGTCCTTTGCATTCCGGTGAACTACGTACGCTGAGGAAGACATCGTTGCTACTGTCGCGCTGTCCAGAAGATCCCTGAGAAATACGAACTCGGTTATACATGATTGTAGAAATCATTTTCTACCGGAAGGTTTCGTGGGCATACATACCTTCGCTTCGTAGAAATCGATGCTGGAACCGTTGGTGTCGTTTTCTTCCTCGTTAAACTCCACCTGAACACGATGCGAAGTACGGGATACCCTCGAAGAGTGTGAGGACGTGTGAGTGGATGAATTCTCCGATAAATCGTCCCTGCAACACGCTGCTGTGCACGTCCGTTGTTCTCTGAAACATGTACCATTTATACGATGTATGCATATACAAATTCTGAGTTCAAGCACTTGTAGAATAGATTTATTAAGTATACTATAACTTCATAAAAATATCTAGTGTCTATACTGCCCGTATTTATAGTCAGACTTTATATTGTATTTAAGACTTCCTTAAATTTATCTTTAGATGCTCAGTGTATAGCCAATAAAATAATTCGTAGAATCATCTGAAGATAAATTTAAGAAGCTTTAAACATATAAGACTTGACCAAATATGGGCAATAGTCACAGTAGAATCAGAATTAAGAGCGACTTTTGATATCGTAAGTGATTCGCTTCTTAAATTATCCACTTCAGTGAAATTTCAGTTTAATTTCAGCGAAACTTTTTTTCAAACAAATATAATCGTTAATAATCGACTCCTTGTAATTTAAATATAATATAATTAAATATAAATAAATAAAAAATTATTTATTTACTAAATGATGTAATCCAACGACGTTTATTAATTTCCATGAGGTGTAAGTACATCGTTATTAAAGATGGAGAGACAATCAGAACATGACACAGTTTAGACGCATTATACTTACGATAGTTTGATATGACAGGGATTTGTTACATTTTTTGTATTTTTATATAAGTTGTAATGTTTTAAATTTTTAACTATAATTTACGAACAACGATTGAATTGTTACTTGTGGCCTTCTTTGATACAATTTCGTTACCAACAAGCTAGGAAACTTTTTCGGCCAAAAATTGTGCTTCTGGTGGGACACACAAGGAAGAAATAACTTTTGTTAAGATCTGCTGAAGATGGCTAAAATATATAGCCGAAACGTCCGAAATTTTTAATAACGATGTACTTACACCTCATGGAAATAAACGTCGGATTTTATTACATCATTTAGTATATAAATAAATAATTTTTTATTTATATTAACCTTGCGCTGACTCCTATATAGCCGATTTAAAAATTGTTTATGTTATATATTGGAACTTTTTTTCACCAGGGGTACGTGTTATCGCAAGAAATGTTTTCTTTGTAGCAGCGAACAAGTTTGGATCGTTCAGCAAAAATAAATATTCACCTTCTAACGGTAACAGAATCCCGTCGCCTCGGGACCGGCGGCGGAAGACCGGCGGCGGCCAGACTCCTGGCGCTCTCGTAACTCGCCTCGCTGTTGCCGCTGCTACTGCCGTTGTTGCTGCCCCCCGCGTGCTCCCTCGTCCTCAGGAAGTAGTTCTTCGCTGAGAGCATCGCGTAATGCAGATTATTCTTCAGATCGTCCGCCGCCGTCGACAAGTTTCCCGGGATCTTAGGGGTGCGTCGCATCGGTCTGGGTGCCGGCACTACCGGCGACGGCGGACTGCTCGTCGATGCCTCCGACAGCGTCTCCGGCGTGGCCAAGGGTGCCGTACGCGTCGAATCGTCCCAGCGACTCGGTCTTCTCACCGGGAAAAAGGAAGGAAAGGGTGAATTTTATCGTATAAAGGCAAAGGCGCGATTAATTTTTCTATTTTACGCATTCGTTCGAAAATCCAAACGGCACAAGTCTTCTCGGGACCTCGTGTCATTTGGGAACACTTCCTGCGCGACTGTGATCTTTTGGGAATTTATGATATCGTTATATCGATGCGGCGCGGCGATAACTTTGAAGTGCACGATATATGGCTCGGTGAGAGGATTCGGATCTAAGCGAAAGAAGCGAGAGTGAACAAGAGCGTGAAATGAAATTACTAAATCTGAGTGGAAAGAAGCGGGTGCGAAAAGTGATTCATTTTTTTCGGATTCCTATAGCCTAGATATCTCTCTGCTCAATAATCCCTACGATTGAACGCTTCTCCTACTACATATTCATTCAAATGTTCTTTAGAATTTGCTATGTATACTTTCTTATGAAAATCTACTTTGTCTTTGCGTTGGAGATATCTTGATTAATCTGAATATATTCTGTAATAAAATCAACAATTTCGTATCAGCGATCGCATTTTGTTTAGATATCCAACAAAGGTACGATAGCGTCGTCGTGGTCAGAGTTCAACGTCATCACTTCTATCGCTGCTATCGGTCTCCTCTTCTTCAGGATTCGTTCCCGTAATCCCGACATCAATCCTTCGCGATCCGGAGCGGTCTAAAAAAGGAATTTTACAAAAGACTGTTTGCGCGTATCAAGACTCTGTTTCATAAACAGATGATACTACAAAAACAAATAGTCGAATTCGTCGAAAATTCCCTCTTCCGATTGGTCAATCGAACACTCGAAAAGAAATGAGACTTTGACCGCACCCGACAGATCTGCAATATTACATAAATTTCGATCCTTGATTATCCATGCTGCCGGACCGCGAAGGGGTTCTAAGTTCTGGCTCATCATCCTTACGGTTTGCCGTCTTCCGGCCTAGGGGTGTTGAGCAGCTCGCTGGCGAGGCTGACGTACTCCCACGGGATACCACGAGAGTCCACGCTGAGCTCACGACCGGCCTGCGGTATGTCCGTCGGGCTCTGCAACGACGTGAAGCTCGTCTCCAGGCAGAGCCGGTGCGGCGGCGTGCCGGCTAGATTGCCGAAATGGTATCTGGTCGGGCTGGACGGCGACAACAGAGCTCGCATTTCCTGCTCTTGCAGCTCCAGCTCCTGGATTTCAATCGTCTGATGCTCGCGCGCTGCCTCCGACGACGCCTCCGTCGAGGACGCGTGCCCGGACACTAGTCGTTGCGGTTTCGCCGGTCCCAGAGTCGTCACAACCTGGCACGATGCGAGCCACGACGTGTAGGGTATACGTCGTGTCTCTCTCGTTATAGAGTGTCGCGAAACTACAGGTACAAATCCCGTCCACGAATTTCACGAGCTCGAAATTGATTTGCTCTTAGCAAACATCTCGTTATGTTTCTCCC